GTGACACCAAGAGGCAGGGGCTCCAAGGCCACTGTCTGGACCCTGGACTTCACCCTTAGGACAAGGGGAAGAGGCTACACGAGTGAAGGTGTGGAGAGTGGCGCTGGAGGGGCCGAGCTGAGCAAGGGCTGGTGGAGCCGGCAAGAGGCTGGGAGCTCGTGGCCACAGTTGAGGCTGGAGCCTGGGGAAGAGAGGAGGGGTGCCTGAGGCGGAGCCCCATGACCCCCCAGGCGCTGTGCGGAGCAGCTGCCGAGCTGTGTGCACCAGGAGGTAGCACTGGGCCTGGGGCTTTGGGCACACTGCGTGGAAGAGTCTTTGGGACCAGCCTGTGGCGATGTGTGCTGGGCTGGCGGGCAGACATGGAGAGATGTGTCTCAGGTTCTGCCCCAGGCCAAGGGGTCCAAGTTGCCTAAACAGACTCTGGAGAAGGGCCGAGCAGTCCGGGACCCTTCCTTCTGGTGGGACCCCAGGAGGAGAAGCAATTGGAGCCAGGTCAGAGGCAGTGGGCTGGGGGTCCTGGGCTGGAGGTGGGGGGAGCAGGAAGCCCAGGAGGGGCGGGAAATGGCTATGCTGAGCCGACGCTGTGTTGTGAGGGGCCCGGGTGGCAGCAGGACTGGGGACTTGCATTCGAGGAGGCCGCGCTGAGCCGATGAACCATGCCGAGGCCCCGGGTGTGCGGGGAGACAAGAAGAGGCTCTGAGATGTCCCTGGGGCTCTGGAGTCACAGGTCAGGAGCTGGGGGGCTGGGAGGAGGTGAGCTGGGGCTGGGAGGTGAGCTGGTGGCTGAACCCAGGGTGGGTGCTGGGAGGCATCTTGATGAGGGCGCGGCGCTCCGCGGTTCTAGGCTGGACGGAGGAGGTGGTGGTGAGTGAGACCAGCATGTGTCTGTGGAGACCAGCATCTGTCTGTGGGGCCTAGTGGGGCAGGTCGGCGGGGGCTGGATGGAGCTGAATGAATGAACGGGGCTGCGGGTGACTGGAGGGGGCGGAGGGCGGAGGGTCAGGCAGGATCCCTGATCCGCACATGGGGCAGCTCTCACCCGCTCCTCCTTCCTTCCCTATCGTGTCCGACGCACCCGGGTCCGGGGGATTTTCAACACACGAGGGCCACAGCAGGGTGGACCGATGTCTCAGCGGGAGGCGGGGGTGGCAGGCGGGAGCAGAGAGCGAGGTGGAGAGGGGACAGCAAGCTGCCAGGGACAGCAGGGATGACGGCACTTCCAGAAGGGCGCTGGGAAGAAGCTTCGAAGCAGGAAGGAAGGAGGGACAGCCTGACCCCGAGAGCCGGGAGGATGCCTTGTAGACCTTGACGCGAGCCTCTGGGACGCTGAGGGCAGAGGCTAGGCTGCGATGGGATCACAAGTGAGCGCATGGGAAAACCATGGAGAGACAGCGAGTATGGAACATTCTGGCAAGAAGGCTGGCTGGGAAGAGCTGGGGGCAGAGAGCGGGGTGGGCTCTGGTGGGCGGGCTCTTGTGAAACCTTGGCCAGGGCTCGCGGCTGGGCAGTTGTGGCTGTGGGACTTGATAGAGGACAGCAGCCCTGATATTTGTAGGGTGGGGTGACCAGAAAGGACCAACTTGGTGGCCGGAGTCCATGTCCCAAACGACATCGTTCCACGGAATCCCCAACAGAACCCAGTGAACGGTGAGCTCGCCAAGGGCTACTTGAAATGGCATCTGGGTCATCCCCGGAATGTCCCTTCCCTGTGACCTGGGGGCAGTTCCCGCCACATACAGCGAGCCCAGCAGCTCCTCAGAGCCCCCAGAGACACAGCGACTGGTCACAGCACACACCTGCAGCTGACACCTGTCCCCACTACGGGAAGGACAGCTGGGCTTTGAGGGAGGCGGCGGGCCACCTCAGTGCCACAACTGCCAGAGGGTATGTGTGTGGATGGCATAGGGACACTAGCCACTGCCCGCATTGATCGTGGCCGCGAGACCCAAGGTTTTGCCTGTCAGTTCCCTGCTCAACACGCCCATTCGCTGCCTGTTGCTTGCTTGCCACCCTCCGGAAGCAGAAAAGCCGAGTGGCCTAGCGCGTGGCAGCTTACCTGCGTCTGGATCCGGTTGAGGCCCCGGAACCAGAGGATCTGGCCTCTGCGGAGCTCCCGCTCAGCGTGGTCAATTTCTTCCTCCCCCTCGGCCAGCTCCTCATCAGTCATCTCGTCCTTCCCAGGCCCGTGCCCCGCCTCCTTCAGGCACTTGAGCTGGCTGGTGGGAATCGTGGCGATGACCTGGGGGCCAGAGGCGAGGGACAGCAGGCAGGGGTGGCCATCAGAGCAGGGCCGCGGTTTTCAGGGCGAGAGCTCTGCGGGGCCCAGAAGGGACCCAGGCTGCCCAGCGCCCTCTGACAATGGCTGAGGCAGGTGTCCGTGTATCCCCACACCCAGGACTGGACATCCCTTCCTGGTCCCTGAGGCTTCATGCCTGGGCCACTTGTGCCTGGTGCCAACTCCATACTCCAGAGGGAGAGCCAGCCTCTTTCCTCTGAGGGGCTTGGTTTCCCGTTCATCAAAGAAAGCAGATCCAGCCTGGCCGGTGTGGCTCAGTGGTTGAGCATCGACCTTTGAACCAGGAGGTCACGGTTCGATTCCCAGTCAGGGCACATGTCCGGGTTGCCGGCTCGATCCCCAGTGTGGGGCGTGCGGGAAGCAGCTGATGAGTGATTCTCTCTCATCACTGAGAGAATCTCTCTCTCCCTCTCTCTTCCTCTCTGAAATCAATACAATTTTTTTTTTTTTTTAAAAGAGAGAGCAGACCCAGAGCTGGCCCTGGCGAAGCTGGTGTGCATGCCTATGGCTCCTCCTTGTCGTCCCCCAGCCAAGCAGAGGGCCACAGGAGCAGCTGGTGCAACCTTCTCACATAGTGTGTGAACTAAGGGATCTGCTTTACCAGATGGAACTCTGTCCTTAGCCCTCAGCTCCTGGGAGGGACCTCTAGGTACCTGACCTCTAGGTACGTGGCAGCGCTGCCTGAGGAGGAGACCTTGGTTTGCCTGGGCGAGCGCTCTGCAGGGAGTTTATCCTGACAGTGCTTTCTGAGGGGGTGGGGCCCAACATACGACCTTGGCCTCCAGGGGCTGGAGACAGACCGAGGCCAGCCACGTGGGCGCCCCAGGCCTCAGGACCCACTCCCAGGAAAGTCCCTGCCCACCGCGGCCAGGGATGCTCTCCTGGTGGCAGCGCCCGCGCATGTTGGCACATCAGTGCCGGGGCCTGGAAGCTGCGCCCGGTCTCTCCTGCACCCGCCCTATGTAGACTTGATCTTGGACTTCCAGGCCCTATTGCTATTGGAGAATAACCTACGCTGTCTAAGCCACCCAGTCTGCGGTATGTGTTGTGGTGGACTGAGGTGAGTAACACACAGGACAGAGTGGATCCTGGGCTCAGCATCCTACGCAGTGTTCTAGATTCCGAGAAACGCTTTCAGAGGCCTGGGCGGCCCCTCCCTTTCTTCCTGACTTAATCCTCAGGTACTGTGACACCTCCCCAAACACACACACACACACACACACACACACACACACACACACGGCTTTGACTGCAACCACAGAGCTTGAGGTGTCGGGGTTTCACTTTCCATCAGCTCAAAGTATTTCCTCATTTCCCTCACATTTTCTCTTGCCCGTGGAGGATTTAGCAGGATGTTGTTTGCAGATAGGTGGGGATTTCCCAAGGCACCCAGTGTTAAGGGATGATTCCCAGGTCCTAGCATGAAAAGGGGAGTGATGGGTGGTTTTGCCAAGGCCCTGTGACATTCCCGCCATGGCCCTTTACCTTCTTTCTGCTGACACTGTTGCTTGTGGCCTTGCCACCTGAGTCATGGCATGTCCCACGTCTGAGACCCGGTGTGTGGTGCCGCCAACCTGAATATGCCACATGCTTTCCCAGGCTTGGGCTCCGAGGCTCTGGAGCAAGGAGCAGGGGCAGGGGTCCCTGAGCTGCCCACCATTCCCTGGCCTTGTGCCCATCACCAGGACTGTTGCAGAGCAGATGCGATGGGGGCGAGACTGGGAAAGCTGATAAGACAGGGGGAAGGGGGCGGGACTAGGAAAGCCAATGAGATGGGGGGAGGGGGCGGGATTAGGGAAGCTGATGAGACAGGGTGAAGAGGGCGGGACTAGGAAAGCCAATGAGATGGGGGAAGAGGGCGGGACTAGGAAAGCCAACGAGATGGGGGAAGGAGGTGGGACTAGGGAAGCTGATAAAACAGAGACTCACCTGCCCCCAGACCAGCTCCCCAATACCAACAAACAGGCACCAGAGCCACTGCTCCGTGGACAGCGGGGAGCAGCTGAAGGGCTTTCCACCAAACTGGACGATGACAATCTGCAGGAGAGGGTGGGAGGGAGGCGGGTCCAGCCGGCACACCTATTCATACCACCCTCTTCCTCTAGTACTCGCGGTCCATCCCATCCTGCCCTGCGGGCGGCCCCGCCCTGCTCAGAGGCTCAGAGAGGTTGCTGCTTTCCCCGGGCAGGTGGGCTCAGCGGACGAACCGCATTTCCAGCTTCGGTATATTTGATTCTTTAACCCTTTGAGTGCCAGCCAATATCCTAGGAACTATGCTAAAATTGCCAAAGCATTTTTGCTGATTTTACAGCAGTTTAGGGGGAAAAAACTTCATAAAATGGTCGTACCTGTAAAAAATTAGGCAGATAAATGCCAGTGGTCAATTTCAGAACTACAAACATTCGGCATCATAAGTAATCTGCACTTAGGTGCCATCTGTCAATAAAGAGTGAACTACCAGCATCTAATAGTGACACTGCAGGAGGAGCGCGATAGCGCTCCCGGCACTTTTGGCGAAAGACAGGAGGAGCGGGATAGCGCTCCCCGGCACTCTAGGGGTTAACATTTACGCTGCGTGCATACGCTGGACACGCTTTGTTCTGGACAGCCCTGGGCACACCAGCGTCACCTCGCCAGGCCTCCTGTTCCCTCATTGCCTTCTCCTTGAGAGAAAGTCTCCACCTAGTGGCGAGCTTTTAAAATACAGACCAACTGGCTCACACTTCAGGCCACTGTCCTCCGCCCCATTCACCCAGAGCCAGGTTCCAGACAACCAGGGACAGCCCAGCCCTCCCCTGCAACCCTGAAATCACTGGCACTAGCCCGTCCTCAGCCTACTCACCTCACCTCACAGCTCCTCTTTCTTAAAAAAAATTTTTTTAACCTTTATTGTTGCGAGTATTACGGATGTCTCCTCTTCCTCCCTATTGCCCCCCTCCACCCGGTTTTTGTCCAGCCCCAGGCCTTCACCACCCTGTTGTCCATAGACAATGCATATATGCATATAAGTTCTTTGGTTAATCTCTTCCTGCCCCCCTCCCTTTCCTCTGTCGCCCCCCTCTCCCTCAGCCTCCTGACTGGCCCTGGTGGCCCCCCATAGTGGGGCAGACCCCTCCTTCGAGAACTGTGAGGAACAAGTATTCTGGCCTGTGGGCCTCACTATGTCACATGCTTTATGAATGTACCCTCTGTTCAAATGCTCAGCCCTCCTGGGAAGCGGACTGGCCAGCCTGTGGCAGGCAGAGGCCTGTGTGTCAGCACAAGGGGAACGGCTGTTAGAAATGGCCATGGCTGACCCAGTGGGACCTGTGAGAAGGTCAGGTCTGAGGAGGTCCCTGGGCCCCTCTGGATCCAGCAGGTGGACCCAGGATGAGGCCTGTTTTTATTCTAAAGAAGCCAGGCCAACCCTGGCCGGTTTGGCTCAGTGGATAGAGAGTCTGCCTGTGGACCAAAGGGTCCTGGGTTCAATTCTGGTCAAAGGCACCTTCCAGTCAAGGGCATGTATCGTGGTTGCAGGCTCCTCCCTGACCCGGACCCTGGTCAGGGCACATACAGGAGACAACCAATCGATGTGTTTCTCTCACATCGATGTTTCTCTCTCTGTCTTTCCCTCTCTCATCCACTCTCTCTAACAATCAATGGAAAAATATCATCAGGTAAGGATTAAAAAGAAAGGAAAAAAGAGGCCAGCCTGGCCGGTGTGGCTCAGTGGTTGAGCATTGACCTATGAACCAGGAGGTCACGAATTGATTCCCAGTCAGGGCACATGCCCAGGTTGCGGGCTTGATCCCAGTGTGGGGCGTGCAGGAGGCAGCCAATCAATGATTCTCTCTCATCATTGATGTTTCTATCTCTCCCTCTCCTTTCCTCTCTGATATTAATAAAAATATTAAAAAATAGTAGAGAGGCCGGTAGCAAGGGGACATGCTCCCCGCCTCTCCCAAGAGTGGGCCCTTCCCCCTACCTGAATGGCGAAGGTGCCCAGGACGATGGTGCAGAAGATGGGATTGCCAAAGATGCCATGGAAGACGTTGCGCTCGCCATGGATCTTGCGGGCATTGATCTCGTTGAAGAGCTGCATCATGACGAAGGTGTTAAAGATGATGGTGTAGTGCTCCGAGGGCGGCGAGTGCAGGGGTGCGTTCCTCCCGCTGTCGATGTCGAAGAAAAGCTCCCCTGTAAGCCAAGGGCCACGTGAGGGGAGCAGGGCCCTGAGCCAGGCACAGCCCTAACCCCTTGGCGAGACACCCAAGATCAGCGGCAGGACCTGGGCGGGGGTGAGGGACTGGCACCAAAACCTGAAACCCGAGGGCAGAAATGAAGAAATTAAGACAGGCTGGGCTGGCATGGCTCAGTGGTTGAGCATGGACCTATGAACCAGGAGGTCACGGTTCAGTTCCGGGTCAGGGCACATGCCTGGATTGTGGGCTCGATGCCCAGTGTGGGCATGCAGGAGGCAGCCAATCAATGACTCTCTCGTCATTGATGTTTCTATCTCTCTCTCTCCCTTCCTTTCTCTGGGATCAATAAAAATATATTTTTAAAAAGGAAAACAAAGAAACTAAGACAGAGCTCTGGCACATCTTTTCTCATTTGCCTGCTGGGTTGAGTTGGGGGTGGGCTGGGAAGGACTCGGGGGCTGCAGGGTAGAGGGCAGCCCAGCCCTCCTCCACCCTGCCCTGCCCTAGGACAAGGCAGCCGGGCTAGGCCCTCGGGCAGGCCACAGGGCTTCTGCTCCCAAGAAATCATAGAAAAGCTCCACAGATGGTCCCCAGATACTGACATTTGGGGGCCCTCACTGTGACTCCTGCACATTGAGCTGTGATTCTGCTCCGAGGAATATGCGCTGAAAACCTCACTGCACCAGGTGCTGGAGTGCTGTGATGGGGACCCAGGCCACCCACAGTCCAGGGTTGCAGATACATGGGGAGCACCCCAACATAAGGGAGAGAGGCCACATACACACAAATCAGCAAACCCACCCCGATATAATGAAAGGAATTTGCCCTAGCCGGTTTGGCTCAGTGATTAGTGCGATGGCCTGCGGACTGAAGGGTCATGGATTCAATTCTGGTCAAGGGCACGTACCTCTGTTGCTGGCTCAATCCCAGGTCCTGGTCAGGGCGCATGCGTGAGGCAACCAATCAATGGGTGTCTCTCACATGGAAGTTTCTCTCTCTGTCTCTCCCCATTCCCTTCCACTCTTTCTAAAAATCAATGGGAAAATATCCTCCGGTGAGGATTAAAAATAATAATAATGAGCCTGCTCCACAGAGCCTACCCAACACAGAAGAAACTCAGAGGTGGACTGGACAGCAGGCACTGGCACCAGGCTTCCCAGGAGCAGCCCATGTCTGGGCTGCAGGCAGAGCCAATGGCTGGGGGCCCTGTGATTGTTGCCCTGAGCACCCTCTGCCCAGCCTCTCCCCATCAGTTCTTCCCTCTACTGTCCACACTCCTGTCTCTGCCTCTCTCCCCTCCCCTGCCCTTGCCCCCTTCGTGCTTTCTGACTCCCTCCTCCCCACTCCTCTCCTCCTTCTCTTTTACCCTTCTCCCTCCTCTCCTTCCCCCTTCACTCCCCCTTCTGCTCTCCCTCCTCCTCCCTACCCTTTTTCTCCTTCCTCCTTCTTCCCCTCTTCTCCCTTCCTCTTCTCCATCCCCCCTTCTCTCCCCTCCAGCCTCCCTTCTTTGCGTCCCCTCTTCTATCCCCCTTTCCTTTTCCTACCCCCTCCTCCCTTCCCCTCTCCCTCTTCTTCTCCCCTTTCTCTCCTGGTCCTCCTTCTCTCACAACTTCCGGGAAAGCACTCTGGTCATTGTCTCCTGGAGAAGTAAACAGTCATGGGGTGAGTGGACAGATGGGTGAGTGACCTGGTCTGGGTGTATGTTGAGACATGCCACCTGCTCTATGGAGCACTGGACAGTTTCTCAGCGGCTCAGGGGCCTGTGACACCTGGGTGGGGCATACGCAGAGAGGGGCAGCAGGGAGGTGAGGGCCAAGGGTTGGGTCCTCACCGGAAATCGGGTCCCCAGGTGCTCATTTGTGCCTTCCACCCCCAGACAGGGCGGGAGCCCAAAGATCCAGTAGCAGCACAGTGTGCCCAGGGCCAACCTACCCACAAACAGCAGCGTGAAGATGATGGTGAGCTGGTAGACCGCATGGCCCAGAATGTTCTTCATCATGGTTCGGGAGATCAGGGGCTTGTCCCGGCCATATGGCTTCCGCAGCAACAGCGACTCGGTGGGCGGCTCTGTCGCCAGGGCCAGAGAGGCAAATGTGTCCATAATCAAGTTCACCCACAACATCTGCACGGCTTTGAGAGGAGAGTCCTGTGGAGAGGAGGCAGTCACCCCAATGTGGTGCTGGAAACCCTACAGGCCCACAGCTCCTGGGAAGAAACTGAGCTCAGGGGCAATATCACTGGAATTTCATTCGAGCAAAAGTGCAACAAATTCGACCTTCCTATAAAACATGACATCTCCATTCCTGTGTTTCCCTTTTTAAAAAACATATATTTTTTATTGACTTCAGAGAGGAAGGGAGAGGGAGAGAGAGAGAAACATAAATGATGAGAGAGCATCATTGATCGGCTGCCTCCTGCTCGCCTCACACCGGAGATCGAGGCCACAATCTGGGCATGTGCCCTTATGGGGAATCGAACCGTGACCTCCCAGTTCGTAGGTCAACGCTCGAACACTGAACCATGTTGGCTGAGCTCCATCCCTATGTTTTCTAAGATTAGTTGAGAGTTTTCACTGGGCTGATTCCTGCTCTTAAAATGTTGCCAGTCTCCTCTTCTTACCTGGTGGCAGTGATCTAGAAGGTGTGGCCCAAATTATTAGCAAGAGGCTGGCAGTTGCCCCAGCCTGTGAAAGAGCCTGACTAATGGTGGCCTCCCGGTCCTCCACACCCAAGGAGCAGGAAGAGGCAGAAACTCTGCACGGGCCTTCCTTCTCCTCCTCATCTCTGAGTTGTTGGTTAAAAATAAGACCCACAGAAGCTAGACACCAAGAACCACATACTGTATGATTGTGTTCTCATGAAACTTCCCAAACTGACAGATCCGAAGAGACAGAAAGCAGATGAAAAGCAGATGAATGGGTGCCTGGGGCTGAGGAAGGGGAGTGAGGGTGTGGTTGCTTAGCAGGCACAGGGTGATGAAAACGCTCTGGAATGAGACAGTGGTGATGATTGCACGACATTGTGAATGCACTAACAACCACGGAATTGTACACTTTTAAATGGTTAAAATGGTGATTACAGTGCAGTTTGTTATGTGAATTTTATCTCAGTAAAAAAACCTCTGGTCCTGGCTGGTTTGGCTCAGTGGTTAGAGGGTCAGACTGCAGACTGAAGGGTCGCAGGTTTGATTCCTGGTCAAGGGCATGTACCTTGGTTGCAGGTTCCCCAGCCCCAGTCAGGGTGCATGTAGGAGGCAGCCAATTGATGTGTCTCTGTCATTTTTAATCTCTCTCTCTCTCTCTCTCTCTCTCATCATTGATGTTTCTCTCTCTCTCCTCCCTTCCTCTCTGAAATCAATAAACGTATATATTAAAAACAAACAAACACAAAACCTCTGAAAGTGTGACCAGTTCTGGAGACTCACTAATGGAAAGAAGTGGACTATTGATAAAGGTGAAGAGGCTCCTTCAAAGGTTAAATATAAGTTCCCAGGGCCCCTGCACTTCCACTTGTAGGTCTAGACCCAGCAGAACTGAAAACGCCAGTCCCCAGTCCACATAAAGCCGCATTCATGCATGTGCACAGCGGCGTTATTCAGAGGTGCAAACAACCCAAGTGCCCATGGACGGAGGGATGGGCGCACGACTCACTGCAGCCATACAATGGAACATTATTCCGCCACCAAAAGGCATGAAGTCTGGATCCATATAACACAGTTGGACCTTGAAAACATTGCGTTAAGCGAAAGGAGCCAGACACAAACAACTGCATTGTTTGATTGCATTTATACGAAATGTCCAGAATAAATAGAGAAGTCTATAGAGATAGGAAGTAGATTGGTGGGTACCAGAGGCTGGGGGAGGGGGGATGGGGAGTGCTTGCTAAGGGGTACGGGGTTTCCTTTTGGGCTGATGGAAAGATTCTGGAAAGAGATAGAGATGATAATTGCACAGCACTGTAAATATACTAAGTGCCACTGCATTGCACGCTCTCAAATGGGGAACTTTTTTGGTATGTGAATTTTATCTCAGTAAAAAAAAAAATCAGCAAAGGAAACACCTGGCTCTCCCAACCTGGGGGCCTCAGGTGGGAGCTCTTCGCCTGCACATGCCTGCCAGCAGGGTCCCTGGGCTTGCTCTCCGCACTGGGGTCCAGATGTACAGGGCAGGCGGGGTCTTGGAAACCGGCTTCCTCCTACAGACCCCAGGGGCTGTGGGAAGGAGATCCCAGGGTCCTCCTTGGGCAAGGCGGTCAGCAGTGCCCACCTGAGTAATGCAGGCGCCCGTGAAGGCCACAATCACAGCCACCACGTTGACCGTCAACTGGAATTGCAGGAACTTGGAGATGCTGTCGTAGACATTGCGGCCCCACATGACCGCCTTGACGATGCTGGTGAAGTTGTCATCAGTCAGGATGATGTCTGAGGCCTCCTTGGCCACGTCAGTCCCTGCGATGCCCTGGGGAGCGCACACACGCACACAGTGTCCATTAGCCCATTCCCCACCGCCCTTTGATCACCCAGCCCACCTGGCTGACTCCCTGCAGTTCCCTCACAGAGTTTCCAACTGGGGACAGCTCTCATTTCATCCAACATGTCCTTGTACCACAGCTTGTCTCGCAGCTTTGCTCATAAAGAGGGTGGCCCTGGCTGGTTTGGCTCAGTGGATAGAGTGTTGGCCTGCGGACTGAGGAGTCCCGGGTTTGATTCCAGTCAAGGGCACGTACCTCAGTTGCAGGCTCCTCCCCAGCCCGGGCCCTGGTCGGGGCTTGTGCAAGAGGCAACCAATCGATGTGTTTCTCTCACATAGATGTTTCTCTCTGTCTCTCCCTCTCTTCCACTTTCTCTAAAAATCAATGGAAAAATATCCTCAAGTGAGGATTAAAAACAAAACCAAGTGGCCATGATGAGCGAGAAGGAAATCCAGGTATTCCCCAACTTGCCTTACCACTCACTCCCAGGTTCCTGCATAGAGCTGATGTCCTAGAGACACAAGCCCTGCCAGGCATGGTGAGCCGGGCGGGCATCGGGTGGCTTACCATGGCGAAGCCCACGTCTGCCTTCTTGAGCGCTGGCCCATCATTGGTGCCATCCCCAGTCACGGCCACCACCTGCCGCTGCTCACCGGTGGTGCTGTCAATGATCCCTGAAACACAGCGTGGCTGTGTGACCATCCCGGGGCAGTGGGGAGTGGGGGTGGGGGGGCGGGAAGGGGGACAGTTGATTCTGGGAACCCTCTGGGATTTTGACTGTGCCTCCCACCCCAAAGCCTCGGTGCTCAAGTCTCTGTGCCTTGACTAGAAGCCCGCCCCCTCCTCCCGCCCAGGTCCATCCCCTAGTGAGATGATGCAGGGTGTTGTGATTTGGTAGAAGGCAGGAGCCCAGCTCAGCCAGCGTGGCTCAGTGGTTGAGTATCGACCTGTGAACCAGGAGGTCATGGTTCAATTCCCGGTCAGGGCACATGCCTGGGGTTGTGAGCTCGATCCCCAGTGTGGGGTGTGCAGAAGGCAGCCGATCAGTGGTTCTCTCTCATCATTGATGTTTCTCCCTCTCCCTTCCTCTGAAGTCAATAAAAAAATATTTTTTTTAAAGAAGGAAGGAGCCCAGCACCGTGTGACTTGGATAAATGTCTCCCTCTCCAGGGCCTCAGTTTCCCCATCTGTTACCAGAGGCTAGGCTCAGCTGGCATCTTCCATTCACGATGTTAGCCCAGAGAAATGGAGGATTGAGCTCTGTTATGTCAGCCCTCTGAGGGGCCTCCATTGTTTTCCCAACAAGTAAGCTGAGGTTCAGGGAGGGCCAGTGACTTGCTCAGAGACACAAGCCAACTCTCCAACCGCAACGGGTCCAGAGCCGAAGACCCCACGTCTTAGGCAGGCCGTGGAGACCCGTTTGGGAGCTTGGCTTTGGATGTCTGGGAGCAGAAAGCATGCAGGGGTGACAGCCACACCCAGCCAGCATCATGCCACTCCGGGCAGGGGCATGGCAGGGGCAGGGGCAGGGGTGAGTGAGAGCTCGCTCGCGCCATTACCTTTGACCAGAGTGTGCTTGTCTGTGGGAGACGATCGGGCGAGGACCCTCAGTTTGGGCCACACCTTGTCCAGACGCTCTTGTTCGATCTGGGAGGGGGAAGCACACAGCCTCTGCAGAGCCTGGGGGCAGGCAGAGCTGAGCAGAGGCAGTGGAGGAGGGTGGGATGGAGGAGGGTGGAGAAGTGGCCAGAACCCTGGACGGAGCCGAGCTGAGCCAACCATGCAGCCCCCTGTGGAAGGGCAAATGGGCTGGGAAATACCTCGCCTTTCTCATTGCGGATCCTCCGGTTGAACTCCTTCCCCTCCAGGCACAGGAAGTCCTCCCCGGGCTGGATGATGCCGCACTTGGCTGCAATGGCCCGGGCTGTGTTGATGTTGTCCCCAGTCACCATGCGGACTGTGATGCCAGCACGCTGGCATTTGCGGATAGCTTCAGGGACCTGGAAATGACGATTGACGTGGGCAGGGCCATCAAGGCAAGACACTGCTGTGTCCAGGCTTTCCTGCACCCAGATCTGCAGCACCCCCTGCCCCCACCCCTGTGGTCCTGAGCAAGGACTTCTGCAGAGGGGGAGGCCTAGAGAAATCAGGGCGAATGGCTTGTATATTCTACCACTGCCATCAGCCGAGCCCGTAGTGGGCAGGGCGCCTCCCTCCGTCCTTCAGCCCGCATCCCCCTCTACGTGCCTCCTTTACTGTGCTCGGCTTCTGGGACCGGCCACACATCTGATCTACGCCCTGACACCACAAGCAAGGCTGGGAGAAGCTACTGGAAGCTCTGTCCTGGGTCACTGCCTGAGCTGTGGATGGAAAGGCAACTATAGAAGCATGCCAGCTCCGTCAGCCACATTTTCCATTGCCACATATAGGGACCCAGAGCTGCTGAGCTGGGATCAGCCCTGGTGACCAGGCGAGCTGGCATGGTGGCTGTCAGTTAGCTCTGGAAGAGTGAGAAAGGAACCTCTGTCCCCCAGCCACCCTGCCAGACAGCAGGGCCCACTGCGGGCCTGACTCTTTGGGCCTGACTTAGGGCAGGCTCCAGGCTGTCATCTGACTGGTGGCCACACTCTGGGCAACTATCTCACTTGTCTCCCTCCACTTTTTTTTTCTTTAAACAAAGGAAACCTAAAACATTTAGAATTGCAGGTTTTACTACTCATTAGAAGAAATGAAACATTGCTTGGTTACGAAGCATACATTTCTATTTTCAAAATATAATACTAGCCTGGCCGGCATGGCTCAGTGGTTGAGCGTGGACCTATGAACCAGGAGGTCATGGTTCAACTCCCAGTCAGGGCACATGCCTGGGCTGGGGGCTTGATCCCCAGGGTGGGGCATGCAAAGGGCAGCCAATCAATGATTTTCTGTCATCATTGATGTTTCTATCTCTCTCTCCCTCTTCATTCCTCTCTGAAATCAATACAAATATATTTAAATATATATAAAACTAGATTCTGGAAAAGAGGGAAGAAAGAGATCGCCTCAGTGCTAAGTGCACAAAGGGCTGAAGGGAGTCGAGACCAGCTAGGAGGTCCTCCCAGAGAGTGGAGGTGCTTCTGCTCCCAAACCCAATGTGGAGGGGGCTCCCGAGCCCAGAGGCTACAGGAAGCTCCGAGCAGCGGGCTCAGGGCTCAGGAAATTGGATAAGGAAGTTAGGCCTAGTCAGCCTGTGAGATGCCCGGATGCAGGCCAGCAAGGGTGCAGCCTGGGGACCTGGCTCCCTGCTCTGTTCAATGGACCCAACACACCCACCTGATGGGTGCTCAGTGCTCCCAGCCGAGACAGAGGCTATGAGAACAGGCTGGGCCGGAGGAGAGAGAGCAGCCAGGCCTGGGAGCCCAGGGACAGGAGGGTGAGCTGGGCCATCAGGTGGTAAGGATGCGACAGCACAGCTGGGAGACCCCAGGGGCGGTGGCCAGCAGGTGGGGCCACATGGGGGGCAGGTGGACACGGCCTTGAGACACCCCATGTGCTGGTGGCCCCTGAGGTCATGGGGAGTGGCTATGATCTCAGCCAGGGAGAGTGGGTATGAGAAAGAGCGGGGGACCGGAGCCCAGTCAGAGGGGCCCCATTTTAAGGCTGTAACAGTGACCAGGAAGGGGGCTTGCCCCCCCTAGTCATGTGCCTCAGGGAGACCTTCTGCTCTCTGCAGCTGTTGGGGTGCTGGACGATGAGCTACAGGGAGATACTCCCCTTCTAGGGAGTTCCCTCCAGTCCCTGAAGCATCTGGAAGCCACCCTCTGCTGCCACCAAGTGGCCATGATGAGCCTTGCTCCCTTGCTCCTCACAGAGGTAGACCCCTCCCTCCTAGGGCACCCTCTCCATCCGGCACTGTCCTTCCTCACTTGCCTCCTTGTGGTCCAGCCCGCTCACCATGAATACAGCCTGCCTCCAGACCCCCTGTGACCTCCTCCCAAGGGCTGAGACCTCAGTCCTCCTCTGGCTGCAGTCATCTGGGTCCCCAAGGTTTAGCAGAGACCCATCCACCCTCCTGCCTGCACCAGCACCAGGACTCCGCTGGGCCCTGGCCTCACTCCTTGGCCCCTACCCCGCTGGCTGGTCTCTGCAGGCCGTCGCCTGGCCTCCCAAGCCTGACCTTGGCAGTGCCATCTGCTGTGCAGACTCTCACTCAGCCTCTCTCAAGCCTGTCCCTTTCCCTGGACCCTGTCACCCAGGTTCCTTCTAGATTTGTTGTTGTTGTTATTCCTCACCCAAAGATATTTTTCCATTGATTTTTGGAGAGTGGAAGGGACATGGAGAGACAGAGAAAGGAACATTGATGTGAGAGAGACACATTGATTGGTTGCCTCCCGCATGCGCCTGACCAGGGCTAGGGATGGAGCCTGTAACGGAGGTACGTGCCCTTGACTGGAATTGAACCCAGGACCCTTCAGTCCTCAGGCCAACGCTCTATCCACTGAGCCAAACTGGCTAGGGCCGCTTCTGGATTTTAAACAAGCAGCCATCGCTGGCAGCCGCTGCAGCTGGGCCTTCATTGTACCCTTCAAGGGACTTGTGCCCGGGTTCCGGATTTTCTAAGATGAAAATTATTACTATTATTACCACAATAATAACATCCCACTCTGAGAAGGATACTGAGCAGGGGCAGGGCTCGGCCTCACCCCACCCATGTGCAGTCGCCCGGGGCAGCTCCATCTGCCCCCATCCCCCACTAAGGTAGACTCATTGGCACTTCTGTCAACAAGCCAACTCAGACCAGAAGATCTGCAAATACACCTAAGGTCTCCAGCCTCACATCTATGACTCAGCTTCGGTTTGATCAACAAATATTTCTACCAGAACTTAGGGCTCCTGGGGCCAGGGAACCAGGCCAGAAGAGCTCCTTGTGCTGTGTGGCCAAGAGCTGTTTCATGCTCACACCCCTTCATCCAGGCAAGTGGCTGAGGAGGAAGGGGAGGGTGGGCTGGTTACGATGGTGTGGAAATGGCCTTGGCCAGGGCCCTGGGAGCCAGGGGATGTCATCTTCCTGGGTCTGTGATGCATTCAAAGGCGCTCCAGCCTCTGGCAGCATCACACAGCCCCAGAGAGTTGGGTGGAAAAGTCTAGAGCTGCCACTGTACTGTAGGCACCTCCCAGAAGTTAGGGGGGAAACCCATCGCTGTGGGAGCAGCACTGGACTCCAGCTGGGGGGCTGCAGCCATACTGGGGGTAGAGGTGTGAGTGTAAATGGCTCCATTCAGAAGGGGAAGGCTGCCCTAGCTGATTTGGCTCAGTGGATAGAGCGTTGGCCTGAGGACTGAAGGGTCCTGGTTGGATTCCCGTCAAGGGCACATACTTTGGTTGCAGGCTCCTCCCCGGCCTGGGTCCGGGTCGGGGCTCGTGTAGGAGGCAACCAATTGATGTGCAACTCTCACATCAATGTTTCTGTCTTTTCCTTTCTCTGCCACTCTCTCTCTAAAAACAAAACAAAACAAAACAAAACAAAAATGGAAAAAATATCCTCGGGGGAGGATTCGTCCAGGGAGGCAACCAATCGATGTCTCTCACATCGATGTTTCTCTCTCTGTGTCTCTCTCCCTCCCTTCCACTCCAGCTAAAAATCAATGGAAAAATATCCTCAGCTGAGGATTAACAAAAAATAAATGAATTAATTAAAAAAGAAGGGGAAGGCCATTAGGTCCAGGTGAGGGCAACACGGCTTTATGACTCAGCTTTGCTGTGTGGGCACAGCCCTTCTCCACGCTGGGCCTCAATTGCTCCCTGGTCCAATAAAGGGAAAGGCCTGGCCCCTGTGTCCCTGGTGGTAGCCTTGCTTCCCTCAGGAGCACCCAGGCGATTCCTCCCACTGCTCCCTTCTCCAGGCCTGTTCCTCTGACTGGAAGTCTCTCCCCTCCCCACCGCCACTGTCCATTTCCTCCTCGGAATTCAGGGACACCTGGTCGCTGATGATGTGTGGCCAGCGTTTAGGTGTGGCAAGCACTGTGACCGAGTGTGGAAGTGCCTGTCTCCCGAAGGAGAGCCCGAAAATTCTCCTTCATCTCGACAGCCCCCAGGGCGGCTGGTACACATGTACAGTGGGGCCTTGACTTACGAGTGTCCCAACTAACGAGTTTTTTGAGATACCAGCTGTCTCTCGGCCGATTTTTTGCATTGAGTTGACAGAGTAATTTGAGTTAATGAGCTCCTTAACGAGCTCGGTCTCGGAAGAAATTAAACTCGTAAGTCAAGGCCCCACTGTATGTGTTCAGGCTAATCGGCAGATCCAAGTGGCTCTGCTTCTGACATGAGGTGAAGAGGCCCTGGGAGGAGGGAGAGGGTCCCTTCCTGCACCCCCTGCCTCTCACCCCCTGGGGCCTGGTGTGCTGCCGATGCCATGGGCACCTCGCTCCAGGCCAGCCCAGGCAGGCTCCCACTCCCTGGAAGATCCCCCCATCTTTAAGGACCAGCTAACCTCTCCATTGGTCCCTCACTCTCCACCATGGCCAGTTCCTGCCCTGTTTCTCTTCAGGGAAGCTCTCAGGGAAGTTGTCTACATGTCCTGGCTCCCTGCCTCGCCAGCCCACAGAACCCACTCAGGTCAAGGTCTCCAGTGAACTCCTAATGTCAAGAAGCTGCCTTTGGCCCGGCCAGCGTGGCTCAGTGGGTGAGCATCGACCTATGAACCAAGAGGTCACTGTTTGATTCCTGGTCAGGGCACATGCCCAGGTTATGGGCTCGATCCTCAGTGTGGGGCTTGCAGGAGGCAACTGATGGATGGTTCTCTCTCATCATTGATATTTCTATCTCTCTCTCCCTCTCCCTTCCTCTCTGAAATCAATAAAATATATTTTAAAAAGTATTGGTGGCTTAAAAAAAGAACCTGCCTCTGTGGTGACCAGGCTAAGCCGTCCTCTTGCTTCGGCAACATGGCCCTCGCAGTTTCCCTCCCTGCCTGGCCCCTCCCTTTGAGCCTCCTTTGAAGGCCTCTGCTCCAGCTGCGCACCCTCCCTGAGACATCACTCATATAAGCAGTAATGGTCTCCTGCTAGGACCATTGTTCTGAGCTCTGTACTCCTACAGCCACCTACCCCCTTGACATCTCCATGGCATGTCCCCAACCAAGCCCTCAATCTAGAACTGTCCCACTTTGCCCCCCACACCTGTGTCCCCTCGGACTTCCCAGTCCCATGATGGCAGTGCCATCCACCCACATCACCCAATCAGAGCCCAGAGTCGTGCTGTCTCTTCCCTCTCCATCAGTCCTATGGGTGTCATGGCTGTTGAAGTTCTAGCTGCCACCCTCTCTCACCTGGTGGAGGCAGAACCTGAGAGAAGCATGGAGGCCAAGCAGGGGGGGGGCTTCTAGCGGGCAGGACAGAGCCCCCGACGGGAGCAGGGTGAGAGGTCAAGTGCACCGTAGAGGCTCTGATCTAGGGTGTGGTGGCTGTGGCCCTGGAGGACCTGAGGCTCTGTCATCACCCACCTTTCTGGACTCCTGGGGGTGACCAGTTGGCTCTACCTTCAACTCTGGCAGGAAGGGGTGTGACAGCCCGGAAGGCAGGAGAAAGAGGCGGTTCTCTCCTTGCATTTAGGTCCAAAGACCACACCCTGGGACCAGACAGGAAGAAGGGCTGCCCCTCCCCCGATCCCGATGCCCTGGGCCTATCCCAGAGGAGAGCATGTCTACCTCAGGCCGCACGGGGTCCTCGATGCCCACAATGGCTATGCAGGTGAGGTCGCCCACAACTTCGTTCTCATTTTCCCAGTCCGGCTCCTGGGAGGCAGAGAAGTCCCGGTAGGCGATGCAGATGGTGCGGAGGCCATCACAAGCCATCGGCTCAATGATCTTCTTCACCATGTCGTCCCGGTCCCTGGGGCGGAAGGCGCGCAGCTCCCCGTTGCTGTTTAAGATGTTGGTGCACCTGCGGCAGGGACAGAGCAAGGGGAGATGAGAGTCTGGGTGGGCGTCAGTCTGAGCCTCCATCTGACTCAGCAGAGGCCTCTCCAAGGAGGGAGGCCCTCTGCTTGTGTGGGGCCGAATAGTGTGTCCCCCCAAATTCATGTTCTTCCCAGAACCTTGGAATGGGACCCGATTTGGAAATAGGTTGGTTGCAAAGTTGAGGTGACACTGGATTAGGGCAGGCCCTCAGTGCAATGACTGATGTCCTAATAAAAACCCTGGCCAGTGTGGCTCAACTGTTAGAGTGTTTGCCTGTGAACTGGAGGATTGTGGGTTCGATTTCCAGTTTGCAAGTTCAACCCCAGCCCCTGGGCCGGTCTTGGCACATGTGGGAGGCAACCGATTGATGTGTCTCTCTCACATCGATGTTTCTCTCTCCTTTCTTTCTTTCTCCTTCCACTCTCGCTAAAAATCAATGGAAAAAAAGCCCTCACACCTTGGGTGAGGATTAAAACACACACACACACACACACACACACACACACACCAGAAGACACAGAGATAGAGACCCACACAGGGACAAGACGATGTGATGATGGAGGCAGAGACTGGAGTGATGCGTCTACAAGCCAAGGAATGACAAGGACTGCCAGTGACAACAGAAGCTGGGAGACACACGAAAGGACCCTTCTCTGGAGGCTTTGAAAGGGAGCGTGGCCCTGGCCACATCTTGGTTTCAGACTTCAGGCTTCTAGAACTGGGAGAGAATAGATTTCTGTTGTGTTAACCCATCAGGTTTATGGTCCTTTGTTCTGGCAGCCTCAGGGGCTGAATGTAAGCTAGGAGACCTGTGGGAGGCCAGAGCGCAGGGCTCATCACAGCCCCTCACAGACACCATGGCTTTAGGACAGGAGTGTGGCACATTGGCCCACACTGAATGCCAGGTAGCGGGCCATGACAAGGCAGCAACCTCGGTACAAGCTCCGGTGACCTTGGAAGCTTCTCAGAGGGCCAGGATGGGGAGAGCTGGCAGAATTCAGGTGTAGAAGAGGAAGGAGCAAAGGAGCCAAGGGCCCAGAGGCAGGCATGCTGGAGGAGGGGTGAAGGAGAGAAGCTGGCTGAGGAGGCCCAGGGGAGCCATGATCACAGCAAAAACTGGCACAGATTCACTCATGTAATTCTCACAGCACTCCCAGGAGGTAAATATTCCTGTTATCTCCATGCTACAGGGGAAACCGAGGCCCCAGGTGGGGGAGTAACTAGTTCACGTTCACACAGCCCAGGCCCAACTACAGCCCTCTACTGTACTTCTCCAAATCCAGCTGCTACACTCAATAGGACCTAGAGGGCATGAATTCAGGGAGGAGGTGGCCTTTGAACTACACTGGGGAGGCTGTGCATGGGCAAAGTTTTGGGGAGAGCATTTTGGATGGGGCAGTGGTCAGCAGAGGTCAGGACACAGCCGGTGGGGGTGCTCTTGGTTGTCCTATGGGAGCTGGGAGCCCCGGATGTCCTGATGAGGACTACATCCTGAAGGCTCTGGAAGGCTGGCTATGTGCACAGAGGCACAATAAGGTCTCGCCTTAGAAGATGGCTTTATAGTTGCCCTACCAGCGTGGCTCAGTGGTTGAGCATCGACCTATGAACCAGGAGGTCACGGTTCAATTCCGGTCAGGGCATGTGCCCGGGTTGTGGGTTCAATCCCTGTGGGGGGCGTGCAGGAGGCAGCTGATCAATGATTCTCTCTCATCTTGATTTTTTAGAAAATATATTTTATGGATTTTTTACAGAGAGGAACTTCCTCTCTGAAGTCAATAAAAAAAAGTATTTTTTTAAAAAAGGCACCAACATCACCAGTCATTAGGGAAATACTAATCAAAACCATCAGGAGATCCCCCTTTACATCCCTAGGTTGACAATAATAATAAGACAAAGAAGAAAGTAGCACAAGTTGGTGAGCATGAGAAGATGGAACCCTCCTGCATTGCTGGTGGGATGTAAAATGGTGAAGCTGCTGTGGAAAATACTATGGTGGTTTTTCATGAAGCTAATCACAGAATTACCATGTGAGCCAGTAATTCCACTCCTAGGGATATGCCCAAGAGAGGTGAAAACACGTGTTCAAACCAAACTGTACAGCAATGTTCAGAGCAGCATGATTCACAGTAGCCAAAAGGTGGAGACAGCACAAGTGTCTGTCGGTGGATGAGTGACAAACCAAATGTAGTCTATCCGTGCAATGGAATATTATTCAGCCCTAAAAAGGAACGGAGCAGTGATCCATGCTATAACGTGGATGAACCTTGAAAACATTATACTTCAGTGAAAGAAGCCAAACACAAAAGGTCGTAGGATTCCATTCATATGAAATGCCCAGAATAGGCAAATCCATAGAGACAGAGAGATTAGTGGTTGCCAGGGGCTGGAAGGGGGGTGGGAGATGGGAGTGACAGCACAGGGTTTCCTATGGGGGTGATGACAATAGTCTGCAACTGGATAGTGGTAATGGTGCTCACCATTGTGGATGCATTTAATGCCACCAAACTGTACACTTTAAAGCAGGGGTGGGGAACATCTGGCCCGCGGGCCATAAAGGCTCATGAAATCATTTGGTCTGGCCCTGCCAAGGCATTAGGGGTGAGTTAATTAAATGTTTGACCAAATATAGCAGGCTAATTTTTTTCTTTTAAAAAATACATATTTTTATTCATTTCAGAGAGGAAGAGAGAGGGAGAGAGAGAGAGAAACATCAATGATGAGAGAGAATCATTGATCGGCTGCCTCCTACACGCCCCACACTGGGGATGGAGCCCACACCCCGGGCATGTGCCCTGACCAGGAATCGAACCATGACCTCCTGGTTCATGGGTTGACGCTCAACCACCGAGCCATGCTGGCCGGGCAATGCAGGCTAATTTTTAAGTTGATACTTCTGTATAGCCCTCGAATGATGCTATAAATATCCAAATGGCCCTTGGCAGAAAAAAGGTTCCCCACCCTGCTAAAGTGATGAAAATGGCCAATTGGATGGTACGTCTATTTCAGCACAATAGTGATACCAGCATGCTTGTATGTTTCCACTGGCCCCCAGCCCCTGGCACCCCCAGCCCAAGG